TAGGCCGTTGTTGGCACCCGAAGCCCTCTCTTTCTGCTGCTGGATACATCACTCCCTTGCAGCGGCATACAATGAACCCTGCGGAGATCATCAGTGTCAATATATCTGACGGGTCATTAGCCTTGAACAGATGCACCCGCCAGGCCCAATACTTCCGACGCTCTGCGAGGTTAACAAAGACCCTGCTCTCTAGCGCGCGGCCCCTTCGCCAGCATCGTGGAAATGTCCCCACTGAATCTCGACGGGCAGATGGCCAGGCAAACGCATGGCAGGTGATCTGAAACCGTTTTCATTCCATGTTCGATCTCATAAAGGACAGGGCTTGTTTATTAGTAGGGCGGAACGGGGCGCGATCTTCGAGAGTGACGAGCATCCAGGCGGCTCATGCTTCAAGCTTCGATAGTTTGTCGACGCATTACAGTTGCCTAGACGAGTTGATATTAGATACAGCTACGGAGCGTGGAAGATGGTATTGACGTACCCTTCGGAAGGGGATATGCAGGAAGACGACGAGAGCAAGGTGCCCTTGAGTACCACGTACACTGCACATGGCTTACTTCCGCACCGCAGCTGATTTCACCGTCGTAGACCGGTCCTTGCAGCTCCATGGCAAACCTTACCCATACCAAGGGCGGTCCGACTGGGCAAACTTTGGGTGGAAACTTGCGTTCGTTGACGCCACCCCGTTGCGACCTGGATCAGCTTCGTTGGGTCGTCGTGAGCGTCGTCTCTGTGGAGGGCTTCTTTGGGCTTACCATGGGATCCCTCCTGAGCCCTGGTTTCCCTGCTCCTTTCGATGTCCTGTTGCCTTGAAATACGAGCACGCGGGGTGCCTTCATCCTTGATACTGCGCGTGATGAACAAGCCGGTGGTCACCAGCCACTTTGATATCAAAGAAATCGGGAGAGAACTGGCAGGGACTGGGTCGGTTCTGGGTCAGTCACGATGGCGAGGATACCCAGTGGTGAGAAAGCGTGAGCTCAGCAATATGATTGAACGTTTGCGGGGCGCAGCTCTAGGGGTAAATCCTGCAGGGCGATGTGAAATGACCAGCGGAAGGATATCTAGTAATGAGAAAAGTAGATGCCTAGCGCACAGTTATGCGACGTTTCCGGGTACGGTAATGTCCATTTGGATTGAGGGGGACGAGGAGGAGGAGGGAATCAGTGGCAGTGTAACCATCTTTCTCTATCTTTCTTCTTGGCGGCTAAAATGGGCTTGGCATGATGTCAAGGCGCTTAAACTGAATGACGGCGGTTCCTTGTCGTCGATGTCAGGCTTGATATGTGTATAGGTAGATAGCCTGTCTATACCCTCGAGCCTGGACGAGATTACGCAGTATGATCAACGCCGTCATTCACGGCAATCATGCACTCCCACCCTGCTCTCACAGTGAGCCCTTCAATCACAAACATCTTGGGAGAAGATGATGGCTGCCAGATATTGCGAGGTTTGAAGTGGCTGGAAACTGGCATATATCAATGACTCGTGGGTCAGCATATGAGACCACCCACCACCATCCATCTCCTTCCTTCAACTTCTTCCACGAAGCCAACTACCAATCCCGCTTTCAACAAGACGCAAAACAAGGCCAAAAAGGCCTATGGTAAAAGCCACTGAAGCACCGAAAAGCAAGCCATCGAGTCCTATGCCCCAAAACGTCAGCATCCGCAACCGTATCCACTGTCCCTTTGAGTTACTCTATCGGATAGTCGACGAGGTCTACACCGGCCCTTGGGACGTGTTGGAAATCCAAGACTGTTTGAAGAGCCTCTCGAGGACCTGCCATTCACTGTTCAAGTATTGTCGTAGCCTCATCTTCAAGAGGGTCTCCCTTTACGCCGACGGCAGCTCCGAGGATAAAGTACGACCAAGGGTGGACTTGCCGTCGGAACATGGAACAATTCAATCCTTTACCCGCCTCATTAAATGGTCACCAAGCGTGCTGTTTCGCGTCAAAGATCTGACCCTCACCATGCGCCATCCGAATTACAGGGAAAACGACCCCCAGACCCATGTCCCCTTTCCTCACGAGGATCGGTCGACCCTTTTCCACATACTCCAACTATCCAACGACTTTGCGTCAAGCATTACAAGGTTTGCGTTTGACTTTGTGCCAGGTCGATGTCACCCCGACGGCCGGGTCTCAGGAGAGATCCTGCTTCCCCTCTTCCAGTGCCTTGTTCAGCTGCCAAATCTCGAGTCATTCACTCTCAAGGCGTGGGGCTGCGGCATGTTAATACCTGACATGCTCCTCTTTGTGCCGTCGAACGTGCAAGAGCTCGCGCTTATCTTCTTCGGCCGCAAACCCATTTTGTTCTGCCATCCTCTCACCAGCCCGCGAGTGATAGAGCCAAAGCTCAAGGCCTTGACGTTGATTGGGAATCCCCAGCATCTACCGACTGAGATGCAGCATCTGACACTGGCAAGACCTTGGGTGACAAACCTCAAGCACCTTCAGCTGGGCGATTGCAACGGCGGGACCCCAGAGAAGCTGCGAGTGTCTCTACAGTCATCGTTTGCTACCCTTCAATGCCTCCACATCGAGATGCCCCACCGAGGCCACCAACTTGGCTTTGGCCTAGAGACCCTTCCGGCCCTTCGGTGCCTTGAGCTTGCCGATTCATCCGACGACGGAACCGCAATGCCAGGGAGGCAGGCAAGACAAGGGATGGAGGTGCTATCCGAGTTGGCCTCCAAATCCTCTTTAGCCCAACCACAGCGAATCAGGTTCTCCCTCCTCGGCATCTCCAGGCCCAGCTTTGATCATGGGTGGGGCCCCGAGGACATTGTGGGCGCGCAGAATCAATGCAGCGAAGTGTGGCATGAAATAGGTCTCAAACAGAATACGTGGAGGGACCTAGAGCTGGTCGCGGTGTTTGCCTATATCAATAGGGAAGTGGGTGACTACCGAGAGATTTGGGATATTGTATCTGTGGGACGATACCGAAATGGTGCTAGTCAACCCATCGTGGAAGGAAATCTTGAACAAGAGTATCAGTCTTTGTGGGAGGGGGGACCCTGCTCGGGGTGGCGTTGTGCTGGAAGCACCGGGAAAGCATTTACCTGGATGTACATCAGCAAAACCGCCCACCCGCTTGACGCGGCTTGAGGCACTTGGCCAAGTGCCGCCAAGTGCCCAAAGGGGCCAAGTGATTCCACTTGATCAAGCCGGGGCCACATTCTTGATCAAGCACTTGAGGTGCTTGACAAGTGCTTGACGACTTCACCAAGGTCCCTCAAGTCGACGCACAAGCAGTATTTCAAGCTCTTTTCGCTGGCTTGGGAGCACTTGGTGGATGCTTGAGCGTCGCTTGTACACAACTTTCGGGTCCCTCAGACCTCAGGATTCTCGCACTAGGCCCAGATTGATAGGGAGAAAAATGTATTATTTCGAGAATTACTATACAGAAGGCTACAGCAGCACTACATAAAGCTCATATACCACTGCTTCTACTAAAGAAAGATGGGCGTTGACCTAGTTGTCAACTCTGCCTTCAGCATCTGCATTGCGTGCACCAGCCTTGACCCCCCGTGACCCTGAACTATCAAAACGGAGGTATCAGTCAATACCACATACAATAACAGCAAGTAATCGTAACTCACCTATTGGAGAGAAAGCGCTAGTGCCCCATCTCCGCACCGCAATTCATACCGAGACTCATCATTCCCCAAGCAAATCATCCGGCGTAGAGTGCTGCATTTAATGAGGCGATGAAGACCATGGGGACGGGCGAAAACTGAGCAAAGATTAGTTGAGAAACAGTGGCATAAGAGGTTGACTTACGAGGCGTAGACATCGACGTAGCAAAGGCCTACATAGTCAGTAGCGTTGGCGGTGGGCCGCGGTGCAGAAAGCAGAAGGTGGAAGGAAAGGAAAAGCAAGAAGCGATTTCGTTCAAGGCGAGGCGAGAAAAGTAAATGAACACACACGTGACCGCGGAGCCGCTTGCGTCGTCTCTGGCAAGTTTAGGCTGCTGATCGCGAGTAGCGATGCCCTGAAGAAGATCAGAAAGCTTTGAGTGCACATTTAGTGATAAAATAGCTCATTCTTCAAGATTGTGAGATATCACAGAGGTGTTGGTTTTTTGAACTTTCAAGTTCACGTCGAAGTGCCAAGCACACCCACAAGTGCACCATCAAGCGCCGAAGCCCGCGATCAAAACCCCTAGTCCAAGCTCAAGTGAAAAAGCTCAAGACCAAGCGCTCAAGCCCAAGCTCAAGTGCGGGCGGTTTTGCTGATGTAATTAGCATGGGCTGCGTTATGATAGAAAATCACTTGCCGTGGTCGATACTCATCCATATGCCCTGAGGAGAGGGAGAACTAGGAGGTCTCGGGATCATCTGAGACGCTGAGCAGCTCGAAGGCAATCGATAAAAGAAGTTTGACGCCGTGATACGTTAAAGTAGCAGCGACAAGAACCTATGAGAGTTTGTCATGCTGCGCGGCATGACCACCCAGCTTCTTCCATGCGAGATTGAATAGAAGCGGATTGGCATTCGGTACGGCAACACACGACCCCAATCTGGCAATGCCAAAACATTCGCCCAAGAATGACAGCACTCGGGGGTAAGGTTGAGCGAGTCGGACGGCACCATTGTGAGTAGGGGCGGGCAGCACAGGACGTCGCAGATAACGCAGAGGTAGGTCCCAGAACAAGCCAGCCGTGACAACGAAGCTCTTCAGTACACATCGACGTGCGATCCTTGCCCTGTGTAATGCCCGCCCAGTGCCTTTGGCGTTCATACGTATAGGGTACTTGGGAGAGAATTTGATGTAGCAGCGCAGGCGATGCTGATTCAATGAATGGTGCGGAGCTAGAGCATCCCACCCAAAGACAATGGTGCAGGAAGTCATGATAAGTTGGTCGGAAGGTGCCATCGTGACCAGTGGCAGGTAATTAACGATGGAGATTACAAGGAAGGAGCAGAGCCCTACATCTGATGTTGATGGGAAGCCCTTGGACTGTTATATCTTAGCGTAACTCATATCGAATATGTGCCCCATGGCTGAGTTGGTTACAGCGTCCGACTGTTAAAATGTGCCGTGCCTTCAAAGAGGCTCGAACACCCCTAGCGAATCGGAAGGTCGTGAGTTCAAGCCTCACTGGGGCAGAGTTTTTGCACCATACCTCTATCATTTATTCCATTTTTTATCATTTGGGATTCCGTGAAAACATCTGCTCAATTATATCAACCGTAAAGGCTACCCAACGGCTGCCAGCTTCGCTTTGAGGTTCTTGTTGGCGCCTGACCCGTGTGTCCCACTCACTCAACTTATGCTTGTTGCGACTGTACAGTTGTGACTATCTTCCGCCGGTGGCTTGATTCCCATAGGCTTTGGGAATCCCGTGCTCTCTTCAACCTGGCCACAGCAAGTTCATGTGCCTTTATTCGTGATGCCGCACCTGCGCTTCAGCAACATGGATCCCGTCCTTCCCTGGTGCTCAAAGGCATCGTCAATTCATAACCTGGGGTGGTGGCCACCAAAAGTGCGTGTATTTGACCGTCTAGTATGACCGATCATGGCTAATGAATCCTGGTGTAGCATGGCATCGAACTGGATTCGAGCATCACCTATCACATCTAGCAACATGCTCTCGCCGTCTTTGCACCTCCTCAACACAACGGCACAACGATGTCTTCACAGCACCACCCAGTGCAGGGACCCCCTTCCCATAATGACTGATAACCTTGTTCGAGCCTTCCATCCCCCGCGACTTTGCCAGTGCTATTGTGCCATCGTCCAAACGAGACAAAATCATGGACCCTCCCATAGTGATCCTTCAACTGTCTGATGCCAAACGTTGGGACCAAGCCTAGGTCCCTCCAAGGGCTCTCTTCACCTACCTTATCCCATACCTCTCTGCATTGACCTCTCCAACCTGGCGCATCAACTGGGGCCTGGTCGACAAAAAGAGGTTCTTGCCAGTGTAGGAATCTGGAGATGCAGAGAATGGAAAACCTCATTTGCCGTGTTCGACTGGGAGGGGATCTGGAGACCAGCTCAGACAGGATATCCAGTCCCAATTGTGCATATGGGGTCGATTTTGTGTCGCCACAAAGTTCGAGATGCCGAAGAGCTGGAAGGGTCTCCAGGTCAAAGGGGATGCGTTCCGTTGGATGCATGTGGATGTGAAGGCACTGTAAGGCGCTGAAGGAAATATGTAGGGATGCTCGCAGCATCAAGAGGTAGTTGGCATTGATAAGTTGGAGGTGTTTGAGGCTCGTTGGCCAAGCTTTTGTCAGGTGTGGGCCGTGGGGTATGATTTGCCGGATATTTGACACTTCTCCCATCAGCGTCAAACTATCGAGCTTTGGCTCCGTTGCTCTGGGGCTGCTAAGCGGAGTGGTGAACAAAACAGGTTTGTAGTGACTCCTCGAGAAAATCATGAGTTCCTTCATGTTTGATGGTACAAAAAGAAGGACGTCGGGTAATGGCACGCCTCTGTCGGTTCTGAGAGTGAATGACCGTAGATTCGACAGCTGTACAAGACACTGGAAGAGGGGGAGCAGGACCTCCTCTGATAAAGGCCCATTGAGGTGGCGATGGCCTGGCGCAAAATGAAATGTGAGGCTTGTGATGCTCGACACAAAATCGTTGGAGAGTGGAAGTGTGTAGAAGAAGGCGGACCACTCCTTGTAGGGAATAATGTTTCTGCCTGCCGGGTCACGCTGCATGTCAAGGATCATGTCCTTGACGCGGAATAGCACGCCTGGGTGCCATTGGATGAGTCTGGTGAAGGATTGAATCGTTCCAAATTCCGACGGCAAGTCCACCCGCATTGGTTCTCTTGGCGTATCGGTGTAAAGGGTGACTCTCTTGAAGATAAGGCCGCGGCAATATTTGAACAGTGAGCGGCAAGTCCTTGAGAAGATCTTCAGAGTGTCTTGGATCTCACACAAGCGCCAAGGGCCTGTGTAAATCTCGTCCACTACCCGATAGAGCAACTCGAAGGGAAAGGGGTCGCGGATGCGGATGGGGATATTTCCAAGCTTCGAAGGCTTGCTTCTGGGGACTTGAATAACCATTATTGTAGACTTCTTTGGCTTTGTGCGTTCTGTTGGGAATGGCATTGGTGGTCGGCTGTTTATGGGCAAGTAAAGACTGAAGGAAGATGGATAGAGGCGGGTAGTTTCATGTTCTGACTGTCGTCTATATATGCTAGTTGTCCTCTACAAGTATCAAGCAGCCATCACCTTCTCCCGACGAACTTGTGAAGTATTGATGATCGCACATACGGTTATCATCCTGGGGCTGTACTAACTTGACTCTACTGTTTCAGCTGGAATGAGTTGGACAATGAGATTAGCGAGCGTTCTTCGCCTCCCTTCGCCTTCTTTGATAAAATTCGCGGATATATTGAGGACCCTAAGCAATGGTTCAGAATGAATGCCTCCAGCATACCATCCAAACACTTTCAATGCTCAGCAATAATATCTCGTCGCCTGGGAGGCCTAGGAGGATCCTTGATCTCCTCAGGGTATCGAACATAAATAAATGCCGTTCATCTCGGAGTTCGAGTCTTGCCCGCCGTGTCTATGTTGGTGGTCGCAGATAGCTGTGGTCAAGATAAACATTATTTCGTTTGTCGTAGGGAGCGGATGACTTATGGACGAATTTGGCGAAGGTCGACAAAATCCTGCCTTTGCTCAGTGCTCAAGCCTCAGCGTACTTCCCCGCACCTTTCCCGCGATGTCACTGCTAGTGGATGGGAGTGTTTGATCGGCGTTAATTCACGGTTTCTTTCAAACAGCGACTATGCTTTTGCTGCAGCCAAAGACTGGCTGCTTCTGGGACTCGGGACTCATCTATGGCAACGCGGTGTAGCCCTTCTCTGCAACCTCACCACAGCTTTCTATACAAGTTCTTTTGGAGCACACGTTCAACCTAACAATGTTACTCTCCCAACCATGAACTTGGCAAGGGGCTTCAGAGCGATAGAAAGCACCGTCAGACCCAGGGGGTCACGGCTTATGTCTGAGATTCTATTCAGGCCTTCCGCGAGAGCCCGGACTATGCTCAGAATGGGGCACTTGAAGCTCGCGCCAGGCCACGTCCCAAGCTCGCCTTTCCCCAATGCCACTCCCTGCGAGAGGCCCTACCTATCACTGTGGGCAAAGTCAAGGCTATAATTATACCACTTCACGTGGTACCAATCCGCTCCGACTGGCGATGGCTGGCGATAGCACTTGCTTCCTTACAGCCATCCGTGCAAGGGGCGCATGCCCCCTTCTGCTCGCTCCGCATAATGGCAAGTGGTGAAGCGACTCTCGAAGATTGCTCGGCTTAGTCTATGTACAGGAGCCCGACAGATCCCAATCCCACCTGACACGGTCCAAAAGCCCAGCTCAAGGTGCGTGTCGCCTGTTGGGCGCCTGGGAGCAGTTCATTGATGACCTTTGCAGCCTTCGCAGCAATCCAAAGTGCTGGCAACGTTCAGGTCACCAACGCCAATATCAGCGTTGCTGGACGGGATAGTCACGCTCACACCCATGTGCACTTCCATGAAACCCAGAAGGATTTGAAGGCGATTGTAGACGCGATCTACAATTTCCGCAAGATTCAACAAGACACGCTGGCCAAGGCTACGCCCGGGACAGTGCAATGGCTGTTTGTGAGCAACTACTTCAGCGCATGGTGGAATGCAAATGGGAAAACAAAGATACTATGGGGATCAGGAATTCGTGCGTGCTTTCTCTAATTTACCCTTGATCTGTGTTTTGAGAATCTTTGCAGCTGGTGCCGGCAAGACAATACTCGCGTATGTTGAATATCCCTGTTCTAGTCTCGGGTACTCATGTTGTATCCCGCAGGTCTCTTGTCATCGACGAGATTGAACACCGAGCGGCAGATCCTACAAGCAAGGTCTGCTTGGCCTACTTCTACCTGCGTTACAGCAAACACAGCGAGGTGACGGTGCAACAAGTGCTCGAAGTCTTTGTGAAGCAGAGCCTTGAACGTCACGGAATCCTCCTCCCACTCGCCCAAGAGGTTTACGCTCGCCACATTTGCGAGGGAACCCGGCCAACGGAGGATCAGCTTTTCGGGCTCTTGCAACAGTTCACTTCGCACATGTCAATCACCTTTTACATACTCGATGCCCTTGATGAGGCACCTGTCGACATCCAGCATGACCTCGTCGAGAAGCTGGTTTCTCTGAACGCCCAGATCCTCATCACCTCGCGGCCATTGCAAGATGTGCAGGCATACTTTCCTGAAGCTCATTGCTTCGAAATAGCTGCTCAGGACCGAGATCTCAACCTCCTCATCACCAAGAAGCTGCAGAGTAGCCCACGGCTTCGATCTCTCTTAGAACGAGGAGAGGCTTCGGTCAAACAACGGGTGATATCAACAGTCAAGTCAAAATGTGGTGGAATGTGAGTCGCTTTCCCAGATGCATCAACACCGTCGTATACCAATCATTTGATCTCTAGGTTTTTACATGCCGCCCTGCAGTTGGACGCCCTTCAGAAATGCTTAAACATTCACAGTGTTGTGCAAACCCTTGAGCGCTTCCCTTCTAGTATTGAGGGCGTGTACACCCAGACTTGGGAGCGAATTCTCAATCAAGACCTGGAGCACGCTGCCCTCGCCAAACTCGCTTTGATTTGGGTGCTCTATGCCAAGCGCCCTTTGACCATTAGGGAATTGTGCCAGGCTATAGCAACGTGCCCCGAAACCCATAGATTTGAACAGGAGCGAGTCGTCCCCGAATCGACCGTGATGGACCTTTGCTACGGTCTGCTCATAGTGGACAAAGAGAGTCAGCTTGTTCGGCCTGTTCGTAAGTGCATTCCTAAAATCATCTCGCCTTCCTTCTAACTGGTTTGTGTAGATGATACCGCAAAGAAGACGTTGGAAAGCTTCCTTCGCATTTCTCTCCCGAATCCCCACGCTCTGCTCGCTGCCGTTTGCATAGCTCGCCTCACCGAGTGTGGATTTCAGGACGCAGCTATCAATTCGGAAACGGAACTAAAGATCGCCCTGCGCACCTATCCTCTCCTGGACTATGCGTACGGCGCTTGGGTTTTCCATGCTCAAGAAGCGCTTGATTTGGACTTCATCGCCAGTCGACTTTCAACATTCATTGGGGGATGCCGTGCATTCCCTGC